GAGCTGCTGCGCTGCATCTTGGACCGCACCAACAGCAGCTGTGTCGAGGCTAGGCTGCACCTCGGACTGAACCAAACAGCAGCTGCAACGCGCTGCTGTGCCGTACCCTACACTGAACAAAACAGCAGCTGCAACGCGCTGCTGTGCCGTACCCTACACCGAACCAAACAGCAGCAACAGTAGCTTCCGTGCGCGACATCTTTTCCTTCTCCACCTTCCACCTAGCTTCAAGATTTTAGGATTTTCCCTAAATCCTACGAGGTGAGTTCACCTTATTTCTATTTATGAAATCTTATATCAAATGAGGCGATGTGTTATACTTACTTCTTACGTTAGTTCTACAATAATCACTTGCTTGGTTGGAAATGGGAATTTCCTTTAGGATAAAAGAGTGAATTTAGGAACACCGTCTATAATGAAAAGACGAGTTGAGAACACAGATTCGAACCGCGGTAAAACACACCTATCAAAGTAGTGTTGACCTTAAGACACTAACACTTTTATGTTCTACAATCGAAGTTTTATTGGCAAATGAGAATGCTCCAATTGATTAAGGATTCTTGCAAATCTTAGTGATGAATAATTGTGTATATGCTTAAGACGACGARAGTGAGCTTGTCACTAGAATGTAAGGGATTGATAGACATGAATGTCGTTTTATTGTTTTTATGCGTGAGAATGATGGTGTAAGTTGGAAATAGRCATTGCGATTATTATGTAATTACCAAATCATCATTCTCATTTCCACTCGGAAATAGGCATTGTGATTATTATGTAATTTCCGAGATAAAGGGCTTAAGATCACGGCCCACTTCATGACTGGTCAGGTTGATGTCAATGGTATTAAACCTGTAACTGATGCTCTATTACGATGAGATTATGACCTACTTCGTGTTCCATCATAATCAACGGTAAATCGGGTCTCGCCCGTCATCTCCGGATGTTGTGGCTCCACCGCATGTCAGTTAGATTGGTTTACTTCTTTTCTCTTGTTGTATAAAGCTACATAGCGAGTATATATATATATATATATATAGGCTTTTAATACGTTCATTTCACTGTTTGGACTCACTAGGCGTAAGCCTAACACTTCATCTTGATATGGCTTGTATATCAGGTTCCTTTAGCGGCGGGGCTCAAAAGGGTTGAGAGGAGCGTTGGTTCGTGAAAGGCTCTTTTGTAGTTATAGCCTTTGTCACTTTTGAGCGTTGCATTTTTGATGTTACGATATTTTTTGGAAATTGATAAAAACACCCGTCTTTAATCTAGATATAGAATAATCTAGATTAGTAGGTTGTTATTTATCTTCTCAGTAGTTGATTTGTAATCGCTATACTATTACCTTTTGTTGGGTGAATTTTAAATTCTAGATTCTGGTTCACGTTAAATATTTTCGGTTTAAATTTTCCTTCCTTTTTAGGGTGTTATATATAATTCTCAAGAACCTAATGCTCAAATATTTGATTTAAACAATCAAATTTGTCGAGATTTTGTAAAGATAAACGGGTTTCTCTTTGAAATAAAATTGAAGGGGAATAAGACAAACTTACCATTGCCATCACAATCGGTACATATGACACTCTTTGTCTTAGGTTTTGTTTCCTTGTCTCCTGTAGCCTGCATAGTTACCAATAGAGGGGTTTATTTAGCATTTATCCCGACCCTAAAGCTATGTTTCACAAACTAGATAAAAAACTAATTGTTAGCTGAAAAGCTAGTTGTTGGCTAATTAACCGGCTGTTAGCAGATGTATTCGTTAAGTTTGGTAAAAATTAATTGATAAGCATAAGCTAGATGTCAATGTAAAATGATCAAAAAAGACATGTTGAAAATTTACACAATTCTAACATAAGGGGCACAATTGGAAAAAGTTAATAAAAAACAACCCGGAGTCTATTGAAAAGCTATCTGAACAAGTTTTTCAAAAAGATAGCTTATGGCATAGGTTTTCCAATAAACTCAAAAAACAATCTCCCTTATGGTTGACAAGGGCCAAGACAAAGGTGCCAACTTTAACCATTCTTTTGCATTGAGTAAATACAAGTTGTAGAAAGTGCCAACACAATGATTCCCCAAATCAAGCATAGAAAGGTACAACTTTTCTTTAGAGCAAACCATACAAAATCATGAGGCCAAAATCACCATGAAAATTTATTGTAAAAGGACAACAAGCATAGGCACAGGTAGCCCCTTTGAATCAATAAAAAAAATTTCATGTCAAACTTAACTGCAAAATTGATATGGAATTCTTCACAACATTTTACCATGTATAAGGGTGGTAATACAGTTGACGCATTTACCAACTTCTTATTAAGAAAATCAAAATCGAAGAACAAAAATTGAAGCTGGAAACTCAGTCATATGATATTCAAAGTCCAATTGTTTTGGGGGGAAATGGAGGGAGTATGCAACTAACAAAATACAATATATATATATATATATATATATATTTATATCATACTTTTGATACCCAAAAACCCTAATCGGGAAAGTAAGACTGAGATAATTTAATAAGAAAAATTACAATTCAAGGCAATGAAAGAGTAGACCTTAGGTTTCAGAGAGTCAAACATGATTGTTCTACGAAGCTTGCGATTGCTGTGATTGGCTATATAAATGCCTATCAATGAAAACCCATTGAGATTAAACAGCGACAAGGCAGAGATTTTTGCTCGTGGTTATGAAAATTCGCAGTGGGAGGGACATAATTACCTGGGTTCTGAATAGCTATGGAGTGTATGGCTACAAAGGATTGAGATAAAGCCATTGTCATGGAGATGGAGGTGTATTGAGAAGGAAACTTGCCTAGTAGCAAGGTTGGTGTTGGATGTTTTGCTTGGTCTCTGGTCGTTTTGGATAATAGGCCACACCACCTCTGCAACACAACTCCTCACTCCCAATTTCCCCACCCCTTACGTCATTTCTCACCCCCTCCTCCTCACATCTTTTCCTCACTCACATCCTCGCATTCATCGAATTTTTTAAAATTTTAATTTTAAATTTATATTTTATACCTTTATAATTAAATAATTATTTTACTTTACATTTTTTTTTAAATTTTCATTTTACATCCTTATTAAATTAGCACACATAATTGTATATCAATTATAACATATTTAAAAAATACATTTTTATTTTAACAAGTTACACCATTATAATCGTCTCATTAATACTTTCGAAATGAGTCTAATATATAAATATGTTTACAAAAAACGTTTTTATTTATAAAGATATAAAGTGTATATAAAAAAAATCACAAATATAAAACTTAAAAATACGTATTTTTAATACTTAACTAGTTGTGTACCCGCGCA